CTGTGAGAGAAGAACATGGCTTGTAATTGTTTCGTGGTGTGGATTCATGCCTTTTGTGGTTTTGAATCCCTTCATATAGTTTTCTTTTGGTTTCTTTTTTTGGGGGTTAATTTTTACTTCAACACCAAGGCATTTTTTTTTGCTTGCCTTTGTGAGTGATGGTTGAGAAAATTCCAGAGCTTCTTAATATTGTAGAATTGGTGGTAACTACATCTTGTGTTTGCAATGCTAATTGATTGCTTTTTGATTTGTTGATAATTTCTCATAATTATTCACATGATGATCATCTCAGGACAGACCAGGCAAAAATGATTAAGTAATTAATTAGGAACATTTATTGTTGGCAATTAATAATAAAATATGGCAGTAATAAATGTAGTAGTTTGATATAATATATTTGAAAATAAAAAAATAAAGGATGAGAATAACTTTATATACGTAACTATATAGTTCTGATCTTCTAGTACAAGTATTAGCTTATTAATTTTTATAGACTAAAATATATCATAGTATGTTTATGTATAATAGTTATGTATTTTGTTTTAATAATTTTACCTCGAAACCATATCTAACGCACAAACTTCTATAAATAAAACAGTTTAAAAATGCTACATAAATTTTTATCATGTTTACAGGATTTTTCATGAGAATTGAGGAAATCTTTTTTTTATTTTATTTTTAAATCTAGTGATTCTCAAGTCGTTTTCCATAGTTATATTAGGTTTTAATATTAGTTATAGTAGATTTTTAATTTTTATAATTGTTTGAGAATAACAAGATTTAAAATGGGATGATAGTTTGAAACACTTAAAATTTTGAGAAAATATCAATTAAGCATTTCGGAATAAATTTAATTTCTTAAAAGAATCCTGACAAGTAAGAATTAATAAATTGACAAGTGAAATTAATTTTTAAATAAGTGCTAAATGTGTCCAATATCTTTTTAAGAAATTAATTTTAATATTATCCCTTTAATTTTTTTTTAAAAAAAATTAGGACGTTTGATTCATAGTTGCAAAAATTTGATACTACAAAACAATTTGATACTCGAGTTTACCAAATTTAAAACCGTTGCTCTCACATTTAATCCATAAGTATAGAGACCTTTCTTTTCCTTCCTCCCTCCTCCTTTTTTTTCTTTTTTTAATATAAAGAAACCTTATCTTTACAATTTACGACTTAAGAATATATGTTTAACACTTACTTTAATGTTTATAATAAGTCATTTTCAACTTCATAGGAATCACTAGTGAATGGTTAACTTATTAAATCTGTCTTAAAATCAAAAAATATTTAAACTTTTTCCCTATTAAAGAATATGGATTTAAGAAATAATATTTTTTTCCAAATATGTTGCATTCTCTTTCAAGGGAATGAAGTTTTGGAGGAAAAGAGAAAAACACATTATTAGAGAAACTATATAGAACAATTAAATTAGAATTAAACCTTTTCTTGGTAACTTGCAACAAGGTAAAATTGAAAAAATGGTTAATGAATACTTCGTTTGATCCAAAATATAATCATTTTTTAACAATAATTTACATATTAATAAAATCCTTATTCTTATGAAAATATATATTATTTTTATCCTTAATTTCAATTTATGATGAAGGAGAAAAATGCTATAAATTTACAAACACAAGAATCTATATTAATAAATATAAGAGTAAAATGGGAATTTTTTTATAAATACTAATTTACTTATATTTTGGACCAATGTAAATTGAGAGAAAATGTTTATATTTTGGACTAGAAGGAGTAATTCTATATGTGACTTATATTAAAGATTAAAAAAGTTTTCTAGAAAACACCCATTCCCTCTGTTAAAAAATATAAAGTATTTTTTAAAAAGTTGAATATTAAAAAATGTAAGAAATTTTTAGTTTTTTTGAGTTGTAATCATTGTTTTTTTTTTCAAGAATACTTCTATTGATAATGATTTTATATTTATTGTAGGGTGTTTAATAAGGGTAAATATAAAAAAAATAAGATCAGTTTGAAAGTAGATAATTACTTTATTAAAGGGTGAAATTTAATTAAAAATACCTTACATTTTTGAACGGAAAAAGTATAATAAAAGTGATGGATATACATGAACTAATCCTAAATTGAAATTAAACAATTTGTTAGTCTTAAAATGAAATTAAGTTGTCATAGTGGTCTCAAGTAGTCATTCCTTGATTTAAAATATACTCTATTATGAGGATTCTCTCCTCTTCCTTTTCCATTCTCTTCTACTAATTTTTCTAATTTTAAACCATGGATTAATATTAAGAAGGTTCAGATTTGATCTTTTTTAAATATAATATTTATTTTTATTTTTTACTGCAGTATTAAATTATTCAAATTAAATTTTAGCAGTTTAAATTTGATTATTTATTTTTTATAATTTAATATTTTACTAATAATTTTACAAGAGATCAAATATAAACTGCTCAAAAAGGCTGGAAGAGGAGAGATTCGTCTCCCAAGCCACTGCGCCTGCTCCGCTCCACCTTTTTTTTTTTTTTTAAGACAAACAACAATTACAAACTTTGTAAAAATATTAATAACAATTAAAGACATCACATTATTAAAATGTCATGAAAGGTCCATAATCTTTATATGTAATTAAAAAGATTATTGAAATAGTTAATAGAAGTTCATTGATGAATTTAAGAAACATTAATTATGATTTTAAAAAATGTTACTTGTAAAGTAATGAAAATTAATTGTGAATAGATAAATAATAGATATGTGTAGGTTGCTGTTATCTTTGTCCTTGTAATGTTTCCAGTTAATTAATAGAATTCTTTCATACAAAAAAATACGTGCAGGTGCTTCTGAACCAATTTAACAAGTACTTAATAATAATACCTAGTACTATACTCAGAGACTGCATGTCCAGTAAAAAAAAATTAAATTAAAAAACATCTATCATAGATACATATATACATATATAATAATCATATATAAGGATATATTGTCTTAAAATGCACAATTCTTTCTATATATTTGATGTGGTTAATTAGCATAGACATTGCAACGTAAACACACATCCCCACTCACATATTATTAGATTGCATGGTAATTATATGGAGATTATACGAAAATTGCACAAAGATCACACAAAGACTATATACGAAAAATGCATGGATATAGCATAAAAGTGGAATGTTTTGTGTGTGTGGGGTTTTGTGTGTTCTTCAAGGGTTTTCTTTTCTTCTCTGCTTTGTTTTTTTTTTTTTTTTTGGTTTTGGGCTTCTACTTGCTTATACACTTGTGTGTGTGAGACTGGTGTTAGAAAGCCTATGTGAGAGAGAGAGAGAGAGAGAGCCCATAAATACGTCTAACGTAAGTCACAGCTCACATAAAAAAAAAAGCTGATAACTAAATATTTAATCATCTTCTATAATGGCAACAATTGTCTTTGCTATTACCATAATAATTTTCTTGTGCAACACCCAAGCAAGAGTTGTGACAACTCTTGCACAACCTGAGGCGCCTTCCATGCCCTACCCAATATAAATATTACCATTCAATATTATATCTTGGCCTTATAATAGACAAAATTTGTACGTGATAGGAACTATTCCCCACCTTTCCCATCAATTTTCACCATTCATTACTTCTAGCCATAGCTCAATAAAAGTGACTAAATGCATTGCCAAAAAAAGTCCAATCCCGGAATAAACACTTAGTTGAGAAACTAGCTTGTCATGTCTTGGCTTAACTTCATCACTTCCATAATTGACATAGCAGTAGTTTCTATTTCTGGATTGGTGAGTGGAAAAAGCATGACAAGTGTTACAACCTTCCAAATGTGACATACTTCACAAAAACTATACAATTCATACATACTTGTTTATATACTTAGAATGGTATCAAACTTGTTCTGATCACACATGACATGGCCAAATCCTGCATTTGAGGTTCAGTAAAAGTGTAGTTAAGGTTCCATGCACGAAGAGTTAAACATCAAGTTTTCAATTATTTACGTTATTACGCACGGCTGTGCGCCACGGGACCCATTTCTTGGTACGTTTTAAACGTGTAGATTACACCAACATTGCACAGAGATCACACGAAGACTATGCAAAGAATGCGGCACAAAAGTGGTATGTTTTGTTGTGTGGGGGAGTTTTTTGTGCATTCTTCCTTCTCTGTAGAATTTGAGGGAATTTTTTTTTTGGTTTTATTTTTTAGCTTCTACTTAGTATACACTTGTGTAAATAGTCTAATGAATTTAAGAATAGTTACTTGTAACTTTTGAAAGATTACTTGTAAATTTTAAAAAAAGTTAATTATAAATAAATGGATAGTTTCATTAATTTATACAACATCATTTGTGATTTAAGGACAACCAGTTGTAATTTTAAAAAATATTATTTGTGAATTTATGTAATGTTAGTAGTAAATGAATATAAATAGCCGTAATTGTAAATTTATAGTTTAAGGATTCTCTCATTTTTTAATATCAATTTATAAGTGACTTTTTTTTAAGATTCACAATTGATTGTGTATAAATTAATGAGACTACTATTTGCTCATAATTGGCTTTGAAGGAATTTACAAGTGATATTCTTAACCTTCCATATTTCAATAATGAGAGATCTTTTAATGGCAAATAAATAAAACAAAAACATTGCCCTTCCACAGCATTTTACCAATTTAAATCTTCAATTGTCATTAATTCCTTTGCATGGTCTTGATCTGGGCTTTCTTTGAACTAGAGCTCAACGGCAAGAAAAAGGGTGGGCGTAGGATGAATCTGTGTGCCGCTGACGCCTGGTTTGGTATGAACGTAGCATATTGGCAAACTTGTTGAGACCAAGAAGTATTTGGTTCAATTTGCCTATAATATTTTATTCATTTCATTCCATAAAATAATTAAAGAAAAGTTCTTCAACAATCAATTATCATAAAAAATAGTTGGGAGTTCAGTAAACCAATGTACTCCATAGTTGGGGAAAAAAAATGTAACCCGATTTCATACAGAGCCAAAAGTCCGAAAGGTGGGAGTGGGAGGGTAGTTGGTGATGACAGAACCATTTTACCCTCACCAACCCCGCTAGCATTTAGCAACCAAATTTGCTGTTCTCAGTCTCACCAACCTTCCTTCAAATCCAACTCAATTTAAAATCCCTCACAAGGGTCCGCGATTTCCGAAAATTTTCAGCTTCTTTTCTTTCCTCCTTCTATCTCGTCTCTTCTTGGCAATGGGAGGCGACCGTAAGTCCTACACGTTAGGTGAGGTCTCTCAGCACAACCACCGCCACGACTGCTGGCTCGTCATTGGTGGCAAGGTATCTGCCCATTGTACATGCAAACTCGATCTTGTGTGATTTGGGTTTACTTATTTTAGTGTATGGGATTTGATTTTTAAGAGGAATAAGATTCACTGGAGTTCGAGTCATGTAATGACTCGGTGTGATCCAGTGAGATTCATGTCGAATCGGTTGAATCTGGGCTCAAAATGCAGTATTTTTGGGTTGATTGGCTCCTTTTTGATGCGATGAATGACTAATACTGTATCGTGTCCATGTGGCGATAGAGCACTGCATTTAGGCACTGTATATTATGACTGTCATCACGTGTGTTAGTATCAATGCTTCTCAGCTTGTACCTGGTTTTGAAATCCATAGTCCCCCCCCCCCCAAAAAAAAAAAAAATTGACTGTGCATCTGAAGGTGCATACTTTGATAGATAGACTACTTGTCATTTATTCTCCAACCTCTCTTTTCTTTAATTTTGCATAACATACCCCCGATGTCCTGTCAAAAGTCTTGTTTGGTACGCAAGTCTAAGATTACGCGGCTCTGGGGTGATTCTCTTGGTCCCTTTTTGCATTGATCCACTGTTGTAATTTTAGTCTATTGTGCCTTGTATGTGTATATATATATAGCTATTGCACTTGGTCAAATTTGAGTATTGTGTGGCCCAATTAGTAGTAGTCCGGCTCTTTTTGCATTGATCCACTGTTGTAATTTTAGTCTATTGCGCCTTGTATATATATATATATATATATAGCTATTGCACTTGGTCAAATTTGAGTATTGTGAGGCCCAATTAGTAGTAGTCCATTAAAGCTATTGTTATAATATTGACACTGTACAATTTATGTAGCACATCTCATCTAGTGAGATTAAGGCTTGTTATTGTAGAACTTCTATTATTAACAGCATGAAGGACCTTATGCACCTGGGGCTTTCCCATTTTTCTTTTGTGCTGGCTTGTCAAAACAAGTCCTGTCGAAACTCAAAAGTCTTAGTTTGAATCAGAGACAAAAATTTCAGTGTTTTTAAGTAGCCTCTTTTGCTATGCCTGGTAGGTACAGAAGACTGTTTGGTACACAATTCTAAAACACCCTGATAGAATTGCGTATTCATTATATGGTTTTTAGTATCGCTGCATAATTTTGCCTATTTACTTGATTTATCTATCATACCTAACGTATGATTAATACCTAACGATTAATTTTATTGATCTAGTTTCTCTTTCAAAGTAAACCAATTGATACAATTGATAGTCATCGTTCATTTAACCTTACCAGATTAAAACATAAGGTATTTAACAGTTTCTCTTTCATGCTGTGAACAGTCTACGTGTGCATTTTAGTTATCCAATATTATTCATGCTTATAACGTGTATAATTCCTGAGGTTGAGCATGCCTCATTCTCATACAAGTTACCTCACACAATCACATCTACTGAGTTTATGCTAGGGAGTAGTGATGAGCTTATGGGGTTCAAAACATTGCCTTTATGCCTCATACAATCACATCTTTTGATTAGATTAGAGACCAAGTCAAATTTTTTTTAAAGAGTTGTAACTAGTAGGCCTTCAAACTTTGTTTGAAATGAGAAGAAAATAGGGAGGAAAGAAGATTAGGGGAGAAAACTGTAAGAAAAAGACATTTTCCATCCTTGATTTCCTCTAATTTCCTTCTTGAAGAGGAGAAAAACCTAATGCCAGGCCAAGAGAATGTCATTTTGTTATACTTTTTCCATTAGTTTTCTTTCCTTTCTGTTTTCCTATCATTTCAGACAGTGTCAGTGTATTAGTCAAATTGTGATTTTCATTACCTTGACATGATTCCTTGGAACAGGTTTATGATGTAACAAAATTCTTGGAGGACCACCCAGGTGGGGATGAGGTTTTGCTGTCAGCCACAGGTATATAGATATCAACTATCAACCATTTTTTTTTTTTTCCTTGGGTGTACACGAGCGCTGGTCCTTCAGACCCCAACTGATCCAAATCGAGCCGGGTCAGACCATGAGCACAGCAAGCTTTCCAAACTCGAACTCAAGAATCCTAATTAAGCCAGCCCCTAACCAGCCGAGCTAAATGCTCATTGGTTATCTAGCATTGTTTTTTGAATGCACGTAACTCATTTGCCACTTCTCTGCAGGAAAAGATGCAACTGAGGATTTTGAGGATATTGGTCATAGTACCACAGCGAAAGCAATGTTGGATGAGTTCTACGTCGGAGACATGGATTCATCGAGCATCCCGACCAAGTTCAAGTACAAGCCTCCAAAACAGCCTCACTATAATCAGGACAAGACAGCAGAGTTTATTATCAGGACCCTTCAGTTTCTAGTTCCGCTGATCATCTTAGGCGTGGCGGTCGGTATCCGTTTCTACACCAAATCAAAATAACCATTGAAACTGGGAAAGTAATTGATAGACATTATGAAAATATGGTAGTGTTGAAAGAATCCTGCTTGTTTTCTGCTTTGGAAATTGAACTGCAATTGCTCGGGATTGCCAGGATGTGATCTTTCTCCGTCCCAAATAACATGTTAATGTATGCACTGTCAATGTATTCTGCATTTATATATCCCATCATTTTTCTCATCACTAATGCTGGAATTGTCTTTTTGGAGTTTTAAACTTTGGTACCTTCATATTTCTTCTTTTAAAGCCGATGAGGTTTTCATTTCCGGGGTTGAACTAGTGACTTCTGGCAAAGGGAGAATTTTTTTACTAGGGGCTGAGATTCTGTATGATTTTGGATGTATGAATAAATTATTTGTGAACAGCTAGTTATTCCACTGGCAGCCTCCTTGCTGCCACTCTTGCCTCTTGAAAGACGTCCCAAGCTTGAACCTGGGTTTGAAACTGGTGTTAGACATGTTTGTGCACGTGCGTAGGCACGCGTCTCCTCCACTATAGGAAAGAGCTCAGTTAAGGGTAATTTTTATTTAAAAAAAAAAGAATAAATTAATTGTTCAAGTTGTGGGAGCCAACGCATTATCAATTTATGTGGAAAAAAAGCATGGTATTAAAAAATCTGGCTAATGAACCAAATAGTTTTATGAGAGAATGACCAAAAAAAAAAATCAAAATATGCAAATGACAATTAAGTAGTAGCAAATTAAGAATTTAACATGCAAGATTATTATTTATTGTTACATTATTACAGAAAAGTTATGATTGTTCAAATAAAATTTGTGAATTATTTTATTTTTAATAAAAAATAATTTAATAATTTATTTAAATTTATTAATGAAAGAAAATTTTTTAAAAATTTTAATAAAATTATAATATTTTAAGAGATTAAATTATTATTTATATAATTTAAAAAAATTTTATTATTATTATTTTTTATTTTTTTTCAATAAAAGTTAAAACATGTCATAATCCACGCAAGCTTTAGGTGTCCAAATAGCAGGCGTGGTCGATGCCCGTGTTGAAAGATAGATAGGGCCCGTCAGTGTCGGCGGTGCAACGTGAATGGTGGTGCAGCCCGTATAATGCTCCATCAACCTCAAATATCAATTCGTTTCCCTTTTTTTTGCTTTCTAAATTAATTGAATTAATTAATTAATACAATACAAGAGCCTTCCCGAATTCAATCTACATCAACGGCCTCAAATCGCTACCCTCTTCGTACCATCGATCCCCTTGGCACGACCCTTAACATAAAATCTTGATCCGTCAGTTTAGGCATTGTTTGAACTGTGGAGTGTAGAGTTTTGAGTGAGAATTAGCCGATCTTCTCTCTTGCTTGACTTTCCGATCACCACTGATCAGGTGCGGCTCTATTCTCTATCTAATCTCTCTCTTCTTTCATTTATCTGCATACTGCGATCACGATCAGTATCCCTCTTCCGGCCATTTCTGTTGTTTTAATTTTGCAGAACTTTTTAAAGACTTTTTATTTATCTAATTTGAATTATGCGTTACGAATGATCTGTTTGTATAGATTGTTGATGAATGCGATCCGAACAGTTGCAGTAATTTGCTTTACTTTACTAGTCTTAGTTGAAAGTTCATTTTGACTTTTTTGTGTTGGCTGGATCTTGCTCAAGCTGATTGATCTACTGTCTGCTATTTAGATATGTCTTCGTCTGATAAACCGGAAGTAGTTGAAAGGGATGTTAAGGATGAAGAGCACAAGGACAAGGATAAAGAAGAAGGGAAGGGTGGGTTCCTTGAGAAGGTGAAGGATTTCATTCACGATATCGGTGAGAAGATCGAGGAGACAATTGGATTTGGGAAGCCGACGGCGGATGTTACTGGGATACACATTCCCGCTATTAATCTTGAGAAGGCTGAACTTGTCGTGGATGTGCTTATAAAGAACCCGAATCCGGTACCGATTCCTCTAATTGACATTAACTACCTGGTTGAGAGTAATGGGAGAAAGCTAGTTTCGGGATTGATTCCAGATGCAGGGACAATCCGTGCACATGGAGAAGAGACTGTCAAAATTCCTGTTACTTTGATTTATGAGGACATAAAGAAACTTATGATGATATTAAACCTGGAAGCATCGTACCTTACAGGGTTAAGGTTGATCTCATTGTGGATGTTCCGGTCATCGGAAGGATAACTATACCTCTGGAAAAAACTGGAGAGATCCCCATACCATATAAGCCTGATGTTGATCTTGAGAAAATTCGTTTTGAGTCATTCTCTTTTGAAGAGACTGTCGCAGTTCTTCATTTGAAATTGGAAAACAAGAATGATTTTGATCTGGGCCTCAATGCACTGGATTACGAGATCTGGCTTGCTGATGTCAGCATTGGAGGTGCTGAACTCACCAAATCTGCTAAAATTCAGAAGAGCGGAATTAGTTACATTGATATTCCATTCACCTTTAGGCCTAAGGACTTTGGTTCTGCACTATGGGACATGATTAGAGGAAGGGGCACTGGTTATTCCATCAAAGGAAATATTAATGTTGACACTCCCTTTGGAGCGATGAAACTGCCCATCAGCAAGGAAGGAGGCACGACCCGTCTCCAGAAGAATAAAGAAGATGGTGGCGATGATGATGATGAGGTTCGTTAATTATATTTTACTCTGTTTTTACTGTTATGTGCCTCCAAGTTTTATTTTTCTCTTGTGCAAGCTCATGCATGTATATTCAAGTGTGTGTGTGTAACCAGTTTAACCTTTTGTCGGCGAGAATGACAAATCTTTACTGACCTATGTGCTCCTTGTAAGCGACCCCATTGTTAGCAATATAATTTTTTCGTCTATGCTGATTTCTTTGGCTAAATTTTTGTGACATGGAAGCTGTAAATTCGTCTCATTTCATACTCTAATCCTCGGAATTGAGATTATGACAAGTCTTGAATATTGCACAATATACTAAATCGTGGCTTTCCTTTGCCTAGAGAGCACATAGGATTTAAAGTCGGGGCGCAATATGATAATTGAGTCTCATGCTTAAATCTTGGATTATAGATATCATCACGAGCTGTCAGGATGAACTTGTATACAGGGCGCCCTAATGGTTGCAAAACTTTTGAGTTTTGCTTGATGCCTAGATCAATACTTAGGGGGCCAATCTTATTTTCATAAGTATAGGGCATGTCAAGCAAAGTTTTTGTAAATACTGGCATATATTGTTTTAAAATTGCTTTTTTTAAAAAAAAAAATTGTTTTAAAAACAAGTCTGACCTTGTTCTTTCTCTTTGACATCAAAAAACAATGCCGAAGATTGATTAGTCAATGTTTTGCCGTTATTGTCTGAATTCAAGCTTGCCTGTAAAATCTCGCCCTTGGAAATTTCTGAAAAGTTTTCTTGGAATAGCTTGAACCATTTTCCTAATTTTATTTGTTCATATTTTTCATGAATAGAAAAGCTATTGAGAATGTTATCATTTAAAATGATCAATAACTTTCATTGTTCCTCGACTGTATTTGTTTGTTCTATTTAACTTAGTTCTTGACTCTCTCTTTTGCAGGAATGAAGAAAGGGTAGAAAGATTTGCAGGTAGTTGTTGTTTCATTGACAGTGAAGATATATTAAAATTTTAATTATAAGATGAAATTGAACTTCGGGGCATTACTTGATGGTTGAGTCATGTATTTCCATTGGTGTGTTTTATTCAGAATCAGATGGGTTGTACCCCTGCTTGTGTTTCCATGTCCATGTTTGAGTTCTTATTTGATGATGAATACATGCTGTTGTTATTATTTGCCAAATTTAATAGTCGAAATGAGTTTAGCCTATGAATAATGATCTATAAGTATGATCCTTAGGGGCTCTCCACAGAACCACCTATACTGGGATAGCATATGGGAAGCTAGAATGATTCTAGGTAGGGAACAATGAAAGTATATGAATAATCATGATGCCCTGGCTAAATTTGTTCTAACATTTACCTGGAAGACCATTTTTTTAACCGTTCTCTTCAGTTTATCGAGGAAGAGGAGGAATGGGAGAAAATTATCTATTAGATGTATCTTAATCTTTTAAGCTTGCGTTATGAATGAATCACCTTTTCACTAAAAAAAAAAAGAAAAAAAAAAGAGTTTAGTCCATGAATAATGGCCTAGTCATACACATTATGAATCAAAGCTCAGCGTGTGAAAAAAAAAAAGGGAAGGGAAAAAAACTAAAAAAGAAAAGAAAATGGTTGCCCCTAAAGCCAAAACGCATCATCATGTACTCCGCGCCATAAGGTTGCTATTTGTGCGATAATCATGCTTCAATTACGTTTACTTGTAATCATGTTCATAAGGAAGTCAATAAATAACTCTCCATTTTCAAATATAAGAGAAAATAATTAATTTACATAGTTTAGGAAAATTAATTAAGTATTATAATTATGTCTGAAAATTTAAAAATTGGACTAAATTATCCCTACAATTAATAAAACAAATGTATCTAGTAAAAATAATTATTGACTTTATGGGGGATAATTTAAAAAAAATTGAAATAAATAGTTGAAATTTGTAGTTTTGTTTATAAATAAAAAAATAAGAAACATAGTTTCTCTTATATTAAAAAACGAAGGGAGTATGCAGATTAGCTTGTTCACGGAGCATCCCATAATATTTTAAAATAAAGATTTTCAATTATCCACCTTTAGGATGAAAAATTTATTAAACTCTTACATGACTTGATTATGTTGGTTTTTGCATGGATTTTTCCGTGAAGTTAAAAAAAAAAAAATATTTCCTCAGAAGTCATAAATTCTTTTTAGAAAAACATAACTTTAAGTTTTTTTCATTTTGCTTGAGTTTTACTATTTGTCTCTATACTTTTTTTAATATTTTAAATCTATACACTTTTATTTTTTTAGTGTTCTAGATCCCTTCATGAACAAAGCATGGGGACTTTGAAAAAACCTAAAACACCAAAAAATAAAAGTGTAGAAACCTAAAAAATAAAAAAAAAAATACATGAACTATAACATCATCAAAATTTAAACTTGATTAACTAAGTCTAATTAGAGTAATTAATTTTATTAGTGAGATGTGTGGCTAGAAAGGTCTAACGGGTGTGTTTGGTTGTAATTTTAGCCTTAAATATGGGTTTGAAGTAAAGTTGGGTAGCTTGGATGTGAAAGGAAGAAAATCTAAAGGAGGAAGTTTTGTGCCACACGCCATGGCATGTG